TTGAAAGTACCATTGAATAGCAAATTCTGACATTCCCTCACAGGTACTGAAAAGTTAGGGGGTTCAATGCTTCATCCAGTCGTGCCTTGAGTGAATCGATGTTTGGTGCACAAACAACTTGGAGTGGAAGAGAGTTCCAGGTGTTACAAACTCTGAGACTGAAAGAGGGATGCCTGCAGTCGAGCCAGGTATTTTGGAGCAGAAGTTTGAACGGATGTCCTCGGAGGTGACCATTCCTGGATAGCGTCACTAGAGTACAACACGGGTGGTTGGGTTGATGTTTTATTCGATAAACGATGATCATGTCTCCCCGTATTCAACGGTATTCAGACAAGTAGAGTCCGAGAATTCGCAGTCTTTCACCGTGGGTCTTAGACTGTAATCGTTTGACCATTTTAATTGCTGTTCTCTGTGGACGCTCAAGGGCCTTTTGTTCGCGAATCAGCCATAGATTCCAAGCCTGTATAGCATACTCGGTGTGTAGTCTAATGTATGCTGATACTCAACGGGTAATAGGTCTGTTTCGAAGGATCCAAAAATGCGTTTAACAATCCAACGTGTTTTAAAGCCTTTGAAGACGCTTTTGAGCAAGGTGTGGAACATCTAGATCCTCATGAAAGATAGCTCCCAGGTCCTTCTCGTTTGGAGAATGCGGTAATGGCTGAGTTCCAAGTAAGTATGGCAAGCGACCATTGTGGCGCAACGATACAACCTTGCATTTTTCAACGTTGAATTCGATGTCATTATTGATGGACCATCGGTAGGCTGCGTCGAGAGTTCCTGCAAGGTTTCATAATATTCAGGATACTTCAAAGTCCTCTATGTTCTGGCGCCATCAGCGAATAATAATGCCTTTTCTCCGAGGATATCTGATAGGTCGTTTATGAATGCTAAGAAAAGGTACGGACCGAGTACGGATCCATGTAGAACTCCACTGACAGCCTCAATCGGTCTCAACAGAGAACCGATACGGAATGTTGTCGAAGAAATTCCTCAATCCAGTCCTGTAACAGTCCTCGGACACGAGAACGAAGCCTGAACAAAAGAGAAACAATTAATTCAAACAAACCTTTGAAATCGAAATGGCTGACCCCACGATGATATTTCGGATAAATGCAGCTATGCATCCATTTCTTGGGTCAATGAATTGATAGATCAAAGAAAACCCAATTACAATATTATATGACCAAAATTAGCGAAAACCAGTCGGCTAAAATTTACGTCAAATTGCCAAAACCAGCCTAAAATAATAAATCGCTGATCCCGAGGCTTGCTAAATCGTGTGCAATTGTTTGCTAATTGCAGGAGACTTAGCCATACTAAGACAGTAAATTGTTGGGAAGTTCAGTGGATTCCTAGAAAAAAACACCTAGAAAAAACCTTATTGGAAAACTAGAACAATAACTCCATTAAAGTACCGATTATTTTCCCATACCACTTGCTTGGACATAAAAAGTAGTTCATCTCATATGCACATAGCTCCAAACTATTTACACTGAAAGCAACGCAGGCGGGTGCATCCCGGCAGCCATACCCCGTAAATTAGGAAACGAAACGCGTGACATAGTTCCGCAGGAAAAATAAATCGATTTATACACAATTATTACTGAATAAGCGCATGAATGCATGGTTCAAATTTGATTACTCTCCTGTGTTTCAAAATTAAACCTCAGCTATGCTATAAACACACTTGACACTACTGATCAATAGAGCTTCATTCGGCAATAATCAACAACCTGGGTGAATCGAATCCAGTGTCTAATGTCATTCAATTGTAAGCAACATTTAGTGATGTTTTGAATGGAACACAGTTTTTCATAGCCGTTACATTTTAGATGCCTACTTCGTTTCGTTTTCACATTTTTCACCATAGTTTTATCTCTGAACCAGAATATGGGTGAGTAATTCGCATTTTCGAAATCCGTTCCGTGGTGCCTATCGCTGCTATCTTCGCATGAATTTTAGTTGAAATTGTAGAAGTGATCGATCTCCAACAGCACGACGCTACTTGATTTTATATTATGAATCTCCAGTTCCTGATAAAAAGATGCTTTTTCTTATACTTTCTTTAGGTTTTATTAGAATGGTGCTGTGAATAGCACTTCCACACGACATTCACGTGTGAATGTAGTCCTTGTATACCAGTCAGCTGAAAACTGTTTACGTTATGCGAGTCTACTTACTCATAAGTAGTAAGAAAATGCAACAGAAAGTATATTGGACAAACATCAATTATTTTAAAATTATGAAGAACTTCAGTTTTCAGGATTGAGGGTAGAGGGCAGGGTGCCCGTGTAAGCCCCATCACCACTGGGTCGAAGGTCCGATCACAAGTGTTCGTTCCTCCATAGCCCCTTTAGGGGCTCATCCAGTCGCCGCTTGATAGCAGCCTCTGTCCTCTCTTCCACCACAATCGCTGGAAGGGAATTCCAGTGTTTTTGACCTACGCGAGAGTCGGTAGACTAACGGAAGACCAACTCACTGAAGTTTCCGCAACGTGAGAGAGTGCCCCCGCGTGCGGTGCTCTGTCCGTAAAGGGAAGTACTGTTGCAGCTCCGGGCCCATATCNCCTCTCAGGATCTTCCTCAGGCCGATGAGATCTCCCCTGAGGCGTCGATACGCAATTGGTAACAGATCAGTAGTCTGTAGACGACTTTCATAGCTGGTCCAGCGTAGTCAAACAACGAGTCTCGTTTGCACGATGTTCTGCGCAATGTGGTTCCCTGGAAGTTGTAGACTACCTCTGAGTCGGCACGCCCCAAGTGCAAGTGAGTACACTTTGCTGTGTTGACTGGAAGAGCCCAGGTATCCGCCCACTGATCCAGGTTGTTCAAATCCGCTTGAAGAGAACTTCGATCATTCGGATCCTTGACTGTACGCCAGATTTTGATGTCATCCACATACATGAGGAATGGGCTGCACAGTTGACCAGGCAATTCGGTCACATATACCACAAAGAGCAATGAACCAAGAACCGAGCCTTGGGGGACCCCTTTGGGAGCGGAATACCACACAAAGAGCGATTTGCAAACACGGACGCAGAATTTCCGATCGGTGAGGAAGTCTCGCAGCCAATTCCGCATGACCACACTCATACCTAGGTTGGACAGCTTTCGCAGAAGGAGGTCGTGCGGCATCTTGTCGAAGGCCTTGCTGAAGTCCACGAAGATGATGTCCGTTTCGTGTCCTTTGGCCTTGTCCTCGGTCCAGCATTCACGTGCAAGTAGCGGGTTTGGTACAGGTGACCGTGATACACCAAATGCTGCCGAAGCCGTGCAGCCACCAGTCGCTCCATTATTTTACTCACAACGCTAGTAAGGCTGACTGTTCGGTAGTTCCCAGGGTCACTCTTATCCCCAACTTTGGGTAGTGGAACAATGACAGCGTCCTTCCAGTGCCGCGGTAAACGCCCTTAAGTGAATGACAAATTGAACAGATTGCATAGTGGGCTGCAAGTTCATCTTCCAGCTCCTTCAGGATCAGCGGATGCACACTATCAGGTCCAGGTGACTGGTGAACCTTTAGTCGACGCAGCTCCAGGGCTACCTCTCCGATGGTAAATGGGGCCCAGTTCAACGCAGTTTCAGTGTCCAGTAGATATACCAGTGTGCTGGAGGCTGGGGTGTACACTGAGGCATAGTGCAATGCCAGCATCTCCGCTTTGTCCTCATCTTTTTCGGCTAGTGCCCTATCTTTGGCGAGAGTCGGGAAACCAGGCGTTGCTCTGATTCTTCGCCTGAGGTAGGCATACAATCGCTTTGGTGCTTGTCCTGAATCCGCTGCTAGTCGTTCCTCGAATCTGGTTTGCTTGCATATTTTTAGTGCAGTACAGTGATTCCGAATACAACGATATTTCTCATATCCTGCGCCTGTTGCACGGTACCTGGACCAGGCTTTATTCCTCTGCCGGTGGCACGCCCGCAGTTCTCGGTTAAACCTCGGCGGGCCCATAGCGTGTGTTTGGTGGCGGTGAGAGAATTCCAGTACGAATTGCTGGATTCTATGACGAACCAACGCCCAGGATACATCCACATCCTCAGGGTTCCGGGAATCCCAATTTGTGAGCGATGCAGCTTGACGCATATCCGGAAAGAATGAGCGCCACACAATCCGTCCGCTCTGTGGTCTGGCCGTCTGGAGTACGCCACGCCTCCAGTGTATACGCAGAACGGAGTGAGCACTAGATGCAATTGGTGGAAGAAGGTCAATCCTAGTCGTATCTGATTGCCTCGGCAAATTACCAGGTCAAGGATGGATCTTTTATCCCCAACTATCCGCGTGGGCACTTGAACATGCTGAACAAGCGAGAGGGCCCGGACAACGAAAGAAGTTCTCTGGAAAACAAATCTGCTGAGAGCAGATGTCAGTTTCCCAATCAATAAAGGTCGTGTTGAAATCACCCAAGACAAGACAATGTCCATCGCAGGCGTACCTCTGTATGCTGGTCAGCACCTCTGGGACGTACACAGCTGGTTTGGTATACCCTCCGGCACAAAGCTTTATTCTGCACCACAGGGCTTCTCCAAATCCTTCCGGATGGGCGTAATTCTCCAGCACTCTAACAGGAAGACCCGAGTGGACAAAAAGAACAACTCCACCACCGCGATGCGACGATGATCGATCCGTTCGAAGCAGTGTGTATCCGTGGAGTGATATTTCGGAGTCCTAGACATCCGGTGTCAGCCAGGTTTCAGTGATTGCAAAAAGATCTGATTTGTCGGATACAACTTATTCCTCCAGCTCATCCCTTTTCCCAGCATCCCTCGGGTATTGGTTGAGGCTAGCACAGCGTGGTTATCTCGACATTCGCGCCTCAAGCTAATCCCCCCGTCCGTGGTTAAACAGTCTCCTGGGTCCTCCTCCCGACCAAGGGAAGCCAACGCAACTGAGGTCGCTTCCGATGCACATGAAAATCCCGTATAGACAGATCAGTTTCCCCTTTTGCGCGGTGCTACCTGAGTTCTTCTAATGCAGTTTTCAATTTACTGCTCTGGTCCGGATCAAGATCCCTGAGGAATCGCACCGGAGTTCCCTTCAGCGTGTGGGTCAGCTTTGGCCTCGTTTTCTGCTCGTAGAACCACTTTCAGTGGAGAATTATCCTGGAGGGGTTTTCCAAGCCTGAATGCCGCTTTTACTCTGATCGATGCCGCTGATTCCACCTCGTCGCCATCAAACAAGGTAACCATGTGCGACCTCAGCAGCTGCAGGTTGTGGTCCAGGCGAGCCTGGTCAGTGGTGGTCTCGGCCTCCGGAAGATTGACAGCAATAATGGACTGAGATCTCGGAGGGAGCTTCCTCTGCTGCATAAGTTCCTGCGAATCGCGGGGGCACCTCTCAACTGACGGGTTACACGCACCGTGTCTAGAAGTCGTGGACGAGGGAGTCGAGTCCGTCCATGAGGACGATGCAGTAGACGATATCCCTGCCCTTTTTTCGGGTGCTTCTGCTGCGGTGCAGCTGCAGGATCTACTTTTCTAA